GCCTTCCTGACCCCATTCCTACACAACCGGACCGCGTCCCTGTACTCTTCCCAGGATGCCTGTCCCTGCTTCCACTGCCTGTGCAGTTCCCTCTTCCTCCTTAGTTTGACAAGCATCTCTTGTCTCAACCACACCGGTCTCTTCCCTTCTTTGCCCGACTGAGTGGTTTCTGCACTCACTCACAAATTCTGTCTCTTCCCCCTCTTGTTCTTATGGCTGCTCTGCTGCAGAACAGGCTTCCTCTTCTGAGTCTTCCTCCCACTCCCTCTTAGAAGCTTCTTCCTCCCTTACTAACCAAGTTGACTTCCTTTTCCATTGTTTAGGAGCAACTGTTATCGTCGAGGGTTGGGCCTCTGACTTAGCCACAGTGTCCATTTGTATGTCCTCAGATTCAGAGACTCTTTCACCCTGCTGAGGTAGGTGTAGACCAGGCCCCAGCACCACATGAGAAGTTGTGTCCCTTTGGCACGGACAAGGCATCCTTTCTTCAAGTGTTTTGTCACTTCAACAGAACGCCACACTTGTTTGGGTGTGAAGTCCCACACCATTGGATGTGAAAATTGCTCTAGGTATCTGCAGAAATTCTTCTGCGCAACTTGTGACCCATGAGCTGACTACCTCAGGGCACATCCCTGTGTGGCATTCACAAAGAGTCAGTTATCCTTAGGAAAAGTCAGAATCAGATTCTTGACTTATACCAATATGAGCATTATAGTTACCCAAGGATGTTCAAGAAACTGAAGAGCTGTTGTAACAAGGCAGAAAAAAATCTACCCCAGGAGGGAGGAAGGGGAGGTGCCATTCTTCATTTCCTCTTCAAATTGGCTCTTGGATGAGAAGAGGGGAAATTGTGAATTGCTTCCACACGATGGACTTGTTCCAAAGAACTGGGACAGAACCAATGCAGGGCCTAAATACCAGGCTAGGCTCAAGGACAGTGTTTTTATCATAACTCTCCCAGGCAAAACACAAAAAGTGCTAAACAGCACAGCAAACTGCAAAGCTGAACGGACCCATTAACAAGCCCCCAAATTTGATGTACAGTAAGAGAGGGAGCATGCCATGGAGCAGGTAAAGGAACAAATAAACCAGAGTAGAGAACACATACATCAATGTTATGACCAGCAACAGTTAAACAGGTATAACTACTGTAAGTTCCTGTCTAGTGCACTCCAGTCAAATCTATTGTGACGTCAAACCCCTCTGGCCCCATGCTGGGCACCAAAAAGGACTCTGGTGGGTTGGCCCAGGCTGACAGAAAAAACCCAAACCCCCAGTTGCGCAAAAGCAATCACTTACCACCAGCAGATGGATACTCAGCCAGTGTCAGAGCAACAGCTACTTTGGAGAAATTCCTCCCCACCCGTTTTATTGCTGAGCATGACACTACAGTAGTATATGGAATATCTCTTTCGCCAGAAGGGCCAGTTGTCCCACCTGTGTCCCCTCACAGGCTCTTGCCAGCCCTTAGCCTACTCACTGTGGGAGCAGAGTGAGAAACAGAGATGGCCGATGGCTTGATGGCTGCTGTGCAAGCACTGTTAAGCAACAGCTGAAACATTGCTGTGTTATCAACACTGGTTTGGTCACAAATATAAACCACAGCAGCATACGAGCTGCTACGAAGAAAATTAACTCCATTCCAACCAAACCCAGTACAGGTGCACAGCAAAAGGATAAGAAGCAACATTCACAAGCCCCATCAAGGAAAATTCCTATGGGATACTGTGGGCATCCACTTCCCCCTGACAAGGTCAAACACACATGCCGTGCTGACAGCTGAATCAGCAGGGACAAAAGAGTCTCAGTTCCTCAACTACCTGGCCTAGATTGATACAGGAATCCTGGCATCCCTGAAAGAAAGAGAATAATGCTCCAGGTTGCCAACAGAAGTCAGCAGAAGTCACCATGAAAATGCATATGCTGTTCATATGAGCAGCCTGCTAGAGCTTACGGTTTGAGCCACCCTAACCTAAACCTATAAAAACATATCAGTAACCACTCAGAGAACTTATACCACACATAGCTGGGCTATGCATATTACAGACTCCCCAATGAGAAGGGATGCCCTCTAGTATCATGACAGATGAAAGTAGAGAATACTTAGAGACTGGTGGGTAATTTGCTACAGCTGTAAGACTTAAGCATTAAGTTTACTCATGTTTACTAATTAGTTATGTAATAAATGCAGAATTATGTGGTAGTCTGTGTACATAACTGGAGGATCCAAAAGAACCATGACAGATATAAGGGCAGGAGGCGGAAAATCACAGTGAGCGTCATTAAGCAGCTGGAATGAGGCGGCCAGCCTGAATAGATTCAGGCTTTCCATGTGTGAACCAGTGACATCAGATACCTAAATGATTCAGGACAGGAAAACATTCTGATTTTGAGAAAGTACATATGACAATAGCTTTGGATATAGGCCCAACCTCATTTTGTTTTGTTATTCCCAGATTATGTCATTGGTCTTCTCATCTGCTTTTTGGGGGAGGGTGTGTTTTGGGGTTTTGTTTGTTTGTTTGTTTGTTTGTTTTTTAAACTTTACATCCCTTCCCTAGAGGCAGGTGAATCTGCATCAAGCAGAAATAATTTCCACTGGTGAACACTGGAAGGTGAACTTCAGGGGAACTTTTTGTCAATGTCATACAGTAAATTGTTGACTTCTGAGACACATCAAACACACAAGGCTTACCGGGAACTCAAGCGGTTAATAACTGAGGCCCTGTAATCTGACTGCATAGCCAAAATATCTGCAATAATGAAAACATACTATTAATGCCAAGATCAGGATTACCAGAGCTACATTGTTTATGAAGGAAAGTAAATACTTTATATTAATATAGGAAATTATCCTAATAAAACTCAACAGGAGATGTTATGGAAGGGAGATGGAGTATTTACTTACAAATTTTCTAAGCTGATCTTCTCAATTCCTATTAATTCTGTCACAGATTTCATAAATTTGCAGTCTTACACCCATATACGCAGAAGCACTAAGATATCTGAGGCCAAATGATCTGGCTAGGATCATTTGTGTGGGACACAGAGAACAAGGGACACCAGATATTGATTTCCTCATCACATCCGCTGGGGTTCTTTCCGATTGGTGACGATGAACTGTCTTCTGAAAGTATCTGTCATACTCTCAAAGAGTTGCTATGGATTTTTTTTTTTTGCTTCAGAATCTTGCATCTTTGGTCCCCATAAATCCTAGGCAAAGTTGCTGCTCATAAATTAGTTTTCCTTGTGTGCAGTAATGTTTTGACTAGTGTCTTTTTTCACTTGTTTAGCTAAAAGAAAAAGAAATTGTGCCTGTGATAAGCTGCAACCTTGCAGCCATTGTCCTGTGGTAAGGATACAGGACCTTCTGCTAACGAGTCATTTGTTCTGTGGTCTTATCTTAGAGTGCAGACCTTCTGGTTATGACATTAGCAACACATTCCTCAATTATATGGCTGAGAAGCGAATAGCAGTTTTGTTACTAGTGCTGGCTATTCTTCTAACTCCTGTTTTGGTGTTTTCACACACACATTTCCATTCATTTTTCATTCACAACAACCAAATCTCTAATAAAAACTATAAATAACTTTAAGCTTGAATGCAGTTCTCCCAAACTGTGATGTCCTTAAAGTGAAGGTAGTTATTTTTCTAAAAACTATTTTCTAGCTCAGTTAGAACACATCAACATGTTGTAAAAGCTTATAAAGTATACGGGCTCTTAGACTGGAACTTGGAGAAGACAATAATTGTAATAATAATAATCATAATCATCATCCCCCCTTTTGGATTTAACATATATTTACTCCAGCTTTCACTTCTGTGTTTAGATTTCCAGACCAAAAAGTCCAATTTACCTTCACTATGCAAGTACCACTGAAGTATGATACTCTGTTTTAAACTGTTATCCTCTGATAAATCTCAAAAATGTTTTGAAGGCCTGGTTCTTGTTTCTCATCTAATCAAGTATGGGCTTATTATCCTCTAACACTAACATTTCACAATTAAGTCTTTCATTCCCTTGGAAAGAAGTTAGAACGACTCACAAGAGACACCTTCTTCCCTGATCTAGCTGGGCTGCTTCTTTCACTCTTTTAATCTCTTCTCTAAATAGCTTTCCCTGTAGAAGAGTCCTACCTTCTGGGGATGGGGCAGGAATGACCCTCAAGATCTGCTCTATTTGATTCATTGTTGATGTTCCAGGAAAAAGAGGTTTCCCAAGTAGCAGCTCTCCCAGAATACAGCCAATGCTCCACATGTCTACACCTTTAGTGTAACTACAAATAAGAATAGAACAGAGTTAGGACTAAATCAAGCAAATATTTTTCTGTACTTTGTATTCATATCATCTACATTAGCTTATTTTGCTAGAAAAAACAAGCTTGATGACTCCTTCAATTCGAATGCTCACGGGTTTTAACTATAAAGTGAATGAGCTTTAGGAATCATGAAACTGGCAAGCATAAAACAGCAGGGAGATTCATCCTATTAAAAGTCTATTCGAGGAAACCATAAAAGGAAACATACTAAAGGTAAATGCCAGGACAAGGTAATACGTAGTTTTAATATGACCAACCGTGAAGATACATTAGTACTCTAGACATTAGGAAAAACACAGAAAGGGTTGTCAGGCTCTGGAATGGGCTGCCCAGGGAGGTGGTCGAGTCCCCATCCCTGGAGGTATTTAAAAGAAGGACAGATGAGGTGCTTAGGGGCATGGTTTAGTGGTGGGATGGCAGGGGTAGGTTAAAGGGTGGACTTGATGATCTTAAGGGTCTTTTCCAACCAAAGCGATTCTATGATACAAGTTGCTGTTTGGAAATAACTGGCTTTTCAGGGCATAGTGTATCTAGAAAGTAGTTACGATTACTTAAGGAAAGTAAATGCCAAACAGCAGGTAAATGACAGTTTGCAAAACATCCACATCTCAAATTTGGGATGCTAACCCAACCTATACTTATTTTCTTTTCTGATCAGTAAGATTTTGTATATTTAAGTCAAAAAAAGGACTAAGTCTGACTAACAGGCAGCTGATTTAACATTTAATTACAGAATATTTTCTGAAGGTCTAGCAAAAAACTAGGACTAAGGTACTCAAACAAATTTTGTAAAGATGCAGATTTAAGGGGAGAAAGAATAAGTCTAGTGGGAGAAAGGATGACAAACAGATGAGCTGATAATGTATGTAAATGAAAAATCTAAGAAACCAGGAAGGAAATGCACATGTAAGGATAGGTTTTTATGTTGCAGAACTGAAGTTTAAATGCACATTGAGAAAACAGACTGCTGACATGACATTGCATCTGGAGACATCTAAAATGAAAAGATTTAGAGTTTTAGACAGTAAATTTTTCCAGTGGTGAAGAAATTATAGGACCCCACCCCTTTGCTCATATTAAATGGTTACCTCTGAGAGGAAAGTAAGATCTCGGGGGCTCGGTACCAGCGTGTTGCCACATATTCTGTTAGAGCAGGGTTGCCTTGGTCCTCATTCATCTGACATAAAGAACGGGCCAGCCCAAAATCACAAAGTTTAACAAAGCAGTCTGTATCCAGCAAGATATTTGAAGGCTGAATTGAACAAAGGAAAATTAATAAGCTTTTTAGTCTCTGAATGGCAGAAGATTATTATCAAGGTTCTTTTACTGGTCTCGTTCTTGTCATACTTATCCATTTAGTGTGTAACAGAAAATTTGAGTGAAGAATAAAGATTATGACTGAAATATACCTTCTGATCTCTGTGAATAACATTTCCTGAGTGGATGAATTTAGTTGCCTTCAGGAGTTGGTAGAGAATGTAGCACTTGTGGATATCTTTCAGCAAATTCCCCTTCTTAATCACAGCATGTAAATCTGTCTCTGTAATATGTTACATCAGGAATATATTTACATCAGTAAAGGATTACCAAATTGTGGATATAAGTTCCTCAAAGCAAGGCCAGAATAGACCATTGTCCAAACTATAATCTTTCAGGTGCACCCTCAACAGAAGTTAACCCTGTAATTACTAATAGTACTGCAGTCTCTAAGTATTACCAGTTTGACTTGCAGCTCATGCAACAGTAACTGTTCTATTATTGCATACTTTTATTATAACAAAATTACACGGTCTCTTCCATATACAACTCTTCTGTCTCTACCAGCCTTCTAATTGGTTGCTCACTGCCGTCTTTCCTTCATCTCAACCAGCCATTCTCATATAATTATTACTCCCTTTAAAGTTTCACTCCTATTCCCATCTAATCACAACTGATATATATTTAAAAAACCTGTACTGCTCTTACTTATGTGTCTACTTACACAAATATTCATGTAAATCATAAAAACACTACAATGAAGGTAGGGAACAAAAGATAAATCATAACAGAAGCTGCATTTCAACATCTGATGCAATGCTAAGTCTCACCCATGGACTCAAAGATGAGGTAGATGTCCTTGTCATTCTGAGCTCTGATAACATCAAGCAGCTTGATGATATTTGGATGTTCTCCAAATGCCTGCAGAGGGAAGAGACTCAACTGTCAAAATCAAGTGTCTTGCTTGTGAATCATAAAAAAGGACAATAAGCTATTTCATTTTGTATTATTGTCTAGAACAAACATTAACATGCTATTTCCTTCATAATGCTTCTACTGAAATAAAATTTTTTAAAAAAGGATTTAAGCTTGCTCCAAAGTATGAAAGCAGCCATTTAATCTAAAAAAAAAAAAAAAAAAAAAAAAAAAATCTCTGTTGTCTGGGACATTCGTTCTAAAAATCCCTCTATACCATTCGTGAATAAAATCCAGCCAACTTTACGCAGCTCTTATTTTCTACTGAAGGCAAAGAATTATTGTGGCGGTGAGAACAGAACAAAGTTACCATCAACGTTCATAATTAAAAACCCCACCCAACCAGAAAGTGTCTATTTGGGGGTAGGCTGAAACACTCTACAGGATGCATTGATTGAACTGACTGCAATGGGAGATCAGACAATTAGCATACAAAGAGATACCTACATACAGATATTTTAAACTGGAGGTGAATTCTATCCTCACATTTGCAGACTGACAATACTGTCAAGATAATTTACTTCATCCTCAGTCTTAACAACTTTTACTTCCTATAGCTAACACTTCTGCACAGCTAGAGACACTGTGAACGCTTCACAATATGCCAACATTTTCATTAACTGCCCCAACTATAAAATTATAAATAGCTGCACCATAAAACCTATGCTTGTACCTAAAACACATAAATTAATTTTTCATATTTGAACCAGTAATACAGACTCTCTATTTATTTCCATCACAAATTCAGTTATAAACAGTATGAAGAATCATCATATTAAGCTATCTCCAGCACAGTCTTACAACAGCATCATCTTCCTAGACTCTGAGGCCAAGACAAAAATTGGTTATAATGTACAACATCCAGAAAAATCCACAAACCAACACACTCACCTGCAGCAACCTATGAAAATACACTTACAAAACAGTAATATACAGCCAGGCCATCAAATATCCTTGCATTAATTCTGAGGACAACATTCAGAATACGCATCCAAATAATCTAAAGAAAATTTTTACCAAAAGAGATATTTTTCTAGAGATGCAGATCAGTCTCGACAGTGTTACACGAGTAAAGTTTAAGAACTTAGTTCACACTGAAGGAAAACCCCATTGTCTCATACTGTCTTGCCCTGGAACTAATAAGGGAAAGTTATGAAAAACTTTCAATCTATACTAAATCTACACTAAGAAAAGAAAAAATCCTACCTTGAAAAAAAATCTTGTCAGAGCCAGTCCTACTTATCTTTGCCTACAGAACAATGTTCTCACTAATTACCAAAGATGACATTCTAGAATGTGGCCCAAAATGCACCAAATAGACCTACAACTATACTGAACAATAAACATAAAACCTGCAAACAGCATAATGACCAGCATACTATGTATCACCCAGAAAAGAATCATCAAAATGCTCAGATTCTACATCAACACTTCTCAATTACAATAAACTTCATCCAGTCCATCAAATGCCCTTATGATAAACATACAGATTAAACTAAGTAATCATTATGCACAGGAAGGAATTTGCATAGACAAGCAAATTAAGACAAATATCCAGTTACCAATGAAAGACTATTTCTTACGCCTTTCCCTTTCTGATCTCTCAGTTCTGAACCTCAAGGAAGAGCTGTAAAATACCTTAAAAAAACAGGAGGGGGAAACTAAAATTCTTCAGTCTACTGAGCACCAAAAGTCATGAAGGTAAGGGCTTAATGGCACATTTACCTCCCTCCCCCCAAATGACTCATTCTTTCCTTCAGAAGAAATATCCTTCTTTTTCTTCTCCTAACTCCTCCTCCACCCATCTACTCCAGAAGTGCTATACATTCAGAATGATCTAACTTACAGGTAATTAACTTGTAAGGAATTGTCGCAATATGCTTTTAGCTTTTAAGTTTGTGGCATCTATTTCAGGCTTAAAGAATAATTAAAAAGTTAAAACCCCTCATCTCTCTCCTACTTAAACTTGACAGTCTTAGGCGATACCTCTTCCTATGAGCCTGCCTTGCTTGTGTCCTTAGACAATCATAGTTATAATATTATCACTATTCAAAAACATTGATGTTTCTACATGGTAAGTCTGTGGAGGAATGGACAGATAATTTTAATGCTGCTGAGATAATTTTAATGCTGCTGCCACTGATAAGGTAATTAGGCATAGTGTGTGGTCAATTATATCAAAACAAGAGCAGCCTCAAGTAATTCCATACAGAACTTGCCTTTTAGTTTTGCTTTGATTATTTTAAGCCGTCAAGTTGCTTTCCACATGATGAAGGAAAAAAATTTTGGCATGCAAATCTCTTCCACACCCCAGCCCACCTCTGAATCATGACATTTAAATTTTAAGAGGAACACTTTCTGTCCACAAAGAAGTAAAAAGTGACAGAAAGCGCAAGTGAATATGGTGATCCTAGAGTAGACATACTGCTAAAAAAGGTGAAAGAACAGGGCATGTCTCAAAGGAAAAATAAGACCAACTCTCCATTTCATTCAGGTGTTTTTGCCCAGCCATGGAAAGACTGTTTGCCAAGATGGCACAGAAAAGAAATTAATAGAGTTGTCAACACTGATCATTGCATTTTGAAAAAGAATGGGAAGAAAATATGTGAACAACATCAGAGATAATTAAAAATAAGAGGGGGAAATGGACATTACCTGCAGGAACATAATCTCTCGAAATGTTCTCTAGAAATAAACAAAAAAAAGTTTATTATCAGCTCAACAGAATGACAGAACAGAGTATGGACTTCCAATGAGAGGGTTAAATCCATTCTGATCTCTAAAGCAGAGGAAACACTTATATGGTAAACAGGCTAGGAAACAACCCAATTGCTCACTAGAGAGTCACAAGTGTGCTCTCTGTACTTAGACACTATGGTGTAACAACCTAAGGGAGAATCAAACTGTCCATGCCTATGAAGACACTTTTTCCTCAGGGACATCAAACAGTATTTTGTAGATGCCATGACATACAAAGCTTGACATTTATTGCTCCTTTTAATCCTAATACAGGTGTAGACTGTATTATTACATGCATAATTATCAAATAACTAACACCTTTCAGAGACATAAATCCTGAAAATATCTATGAACTCCCACCACATCTTTCAGGACATATTAGAACAATGATTTCTCACCTGAGCATCTGTTCTGTTCCTGAAAGCATCAAAAATCTTTTTAACAGCAACTATTTCTCCTGTCCTGCGATCAATTGCTTTCCATACAATGCCATAAGCCTAGGGAGAAAAAAGGACAGATGAACTGTATACCATGACATCTTAAGCATGGTTCAGACCCTCAATATGGAAGTAGAATGTACTCAACAGAGGGATTGAAAGAAAAGGTAATCACCAGCTACCTAGAAGAAAGAGAGATTAGGCCAATGAGCAATACTTGGTTGAGTCAAGGACTAAGAACATCTATACTGCATACGACCAAAGTTCCACACGGTCAAGCATCCTGGCTCCCAAAGCAGCCAATAGCAGATGTACATGCTCATGAAGTTCAGCAAGGTCGAGTGCAAGGTCCTACACCTGGGTCGGGGCAATCCCCAGTATCAATACAGGCTGGGGGAGGAATGGACTGAGAGGAGGCCTTGTGGAGAAGGACTTGGGGGTACTGATGGATGAAAAATTGGATGAGAGCCAGCAATGTGCGCTTGCAGCCCAGAAAGCCAAGTGTATCCTGGGCTTCAACAAAAGCAGCATGGCCAGCAGGTTGAGGGAGGTGATTCTCCCTCTCTACTCTGCTCTCATGAGACCCCACCTGCAGTACTGCGTCCAGCTCTGGTCCCCAGTACAAGAAAGACATAGATCTGTCAGAGTGGGTCCAGGGTTCCGAGGGCTGGAACACTTCTCCTACAAAGAAAGGCTGAGAGAGTTGGGGTTGTTCAGTCTGGAGAAGAGAAGGCTCCAGAGAGACCTTATTGCAGCCTTTCAATACTTAAAAGGGCTTATAAGAAAGATGGAGAGAGACTTTTTACCAAGGCTTGTAGTGACAGTATCATAGAATCATAGGATCACTTAGGTTGGAAAAGACCTTTAAGATCATGGAGTCCAACTGTTAACCTAACACTGCCAAGTCCATCACTAAACCATGTCCCTAAGTGCCACGTCGACATGTCTTTTAAATACCCCCAGGGATGGGGACTCAACCACTTCCCTGGGCAGACTGATCCAATGTTCAACAACCCTTTCGGTGAAGAAATTTTTCCTAATATCCAATCCAAACCTCCCTGGCACAACTTCAGGCTGTTTCCTTTCATCCTATCACTTGTTACTTGGGAAAAAAGAAAAGAGAGATCCCAATTGCCAACAGTGTAGTATTATAGCGCTTATCTGAGATACTTATACTCCAACTGTTTGTACTTTCTGATGCATGGCAAAGAACCTGAACCCATACTCCAGGACCACACATATTCTTGGGAAGTCTGCCTCAGTGTTGCTATCTGAGTATTTAAGCATGAAAATCACTCAATATCACCTATTGCAGCTAGTTTACTTTGTATAAGTATTTAAACATTAACTGGGCATTTCTGAGTGAGAAATGACCCCATTGTGCAGAGGTAATACATCTCCTAGAGTGTGGAAAGTTAAGGTTCCAAATCTATGACCTAAAAATAAGAAAACTGGATAGGTACTGGGAGACTGTGTAATCGCCATCTGCAAGTATCACACAGTCATCCAAGATAGGAAAACTCAGGTAGACGTCCCTGTTCCTTTAGTAGACAACACAGCTTTTAATAAAACAAGATTTAAAAAAAAAAAAAAAAAGCAGCAAACTGTTTAAATTCCCTCACTGTACAGGAACAGCTTATCTCCCTTGCTGCTGCACTTCTCTGCTCTAGGTTTTGGGCAGTCCTCACCTGTTTCAGGGACTCCAACAGCCTTTTAAGTGCTCAGGTAAGTATATCAGCTGTGTACATACACAATACATACAGAATGTTCCGCATACAAGAAGCAGAAAACACAGGTATTTAGGAGACTGGAAGCAGTTGAGTTAAGAGCTCTTCTAGTAGTTTTGATAACATCAGTGATGCCTAGGTGATGGACCTGACGCCACTGAACTCCTTTAAAGGCCTGAAGGTCTGTAATTATGTTTGTGAAACAGACTCCAAATAGAATTCTCAAACAATTTGATATTTCAGATGAAATAGTGTCATTCTGCTTGAAGAACCTAGCACATTAAAAGATGTAATATATCACATCCAGTCAAAGGGAGAAAGCTGATAACTAGTAACAAGATGGCAGCAAACCTCAAGTCAGAGGCAAACTTAGAATGACATATAGTCAATGAAATATAGATCAGTGTGAATTCAAAATGAGAAAAACAAAACATTGTCTTAGAAGATAATGAAGAAAATGAGCCTCTCTCAACTGCTCCCTTGTAATTGCACAATTAAATACTTAACTACTAGTATCAGCACAACTAAACAATGGCAAAGAGCTGCCAGAATAGAAAAGCAGGTAATCAGGAAAGGTTTAGAGACTGCATGAGGAGAAAGGTCTTAAGACATTAACATTGGCTCACACATAAAAATATGTATTTTTATGGGGAAAAAAAATAATTGATGCAGCACAATACTTGAAGTAATGGGGTTACAGTAAATGTGAAAGTATTTGGCAGGCACAAACAGAATATACTTTGAGACTCCAATTCATTTTACCATAAGCCAGGTGTACATACAAGGCCGGTGCCTTGTGCGGCAGATCTCCAGTAACTTACAGGAAAAAAAAACCTCATGGGGAATTTCATTTTCAGTTTCACATGCTACAACATAACACCTTCCTCTGAAATTTAGTTGTGAAACAATATAAGAAGTCACAGAAAGTTAACAGGCTACGATTTATGGCGGTTTTCTCTGTTAGGCATAACAAACAATTTCGAAGCCCCGGTTTTCTTCA